TATTTGCTGTTAACTTGTTTGTTTAACACTTCCAAGAGTGGAGAAGCTAATGACAGGTATTGCCTATTCACTCTGGAGCAGACCTACAAAGCAGATGTGTAGAAACAACATTTTAAATGTGGAACACGTCAACTTATTTCAAGTTCAGAAACTTTTGTGACCAAAGATGACTTCTTATAAATACTTCCAAAGGAATTACTCATTATGCATTTAATTATCAAGTTGAGTATGCGTGGGAAAACAATGGAGCATAAAACTGTCATGGCCCTTTTCTATCCTGCTGCTCTGAATCAGGTCTTCTGTAAAAAAAGGGGAAGATTAGAAGACACAGTAATTTTTTGCCATTAATTAGCTTTCAAGCTTTTAACACAGGACTGAAAGGCTTATCCATCATAACCAAAAGAGTACAGCTTGTACTAAGAACTGAAGGAGCATCAGACTTTCATGTTTCCCATCATAGTTCTAATAATTACAATGTACCTGATTTTTGGATAACACGACCAAAAAGGAAGGGGAGTGGGAGAGCAAGTTCAGTTCCAATAAAATCAGAAAACTTTGAAGAAAAGTTTTATGAAACGTGAGGAAAAACTTGGAAGAATGTAGCTATTCTGCCAACTGAAGAGGTGCAGAAAGCATTACTGGATTTCTTACCTTGCATATTCAGGAACTGGTATACTAAAACTTAATCACTTTAAATTCAGAGGCAGCAATTTTAACTGCTGGCTTAAATGCTTACATATAATTGCATTCAAAGAGCAATTACTGCTTATTTTTTTAAATAAAAGAATAGTGGCTGATTCTGTAATTAAACCTAGGACCTTTTTTTTTTTTTTTTGAATAAAAACTCCTTAAGTCTTCTGTTCTTTATAAAAACTCAGTTATTCCCTTTGAAGTCAAGGATGGAGATGTCTATTTCCTTTTACAAAGGCAGAGAGTTTCTGCAGAGAGGCTGGTTTAGTCACAGTCTGCAAAGTGTTTCAGATCAGTGAAAAGATTCATTCCACAAAGCCTTTGACTGCTATAAAGCAAGAGTGAAGTATCTGATCTTACAGATTTATTCTCATTCAACTGTCTCTTCTCTCTTTCTCTCCTAGAGAAAACCAACAGAGGAGGAGTAATAGTTGGTGTCATTGTAGGAGCCATTTTGGTATCTATATTAATTGGTCTGATTGGATATTTTATATGTGGTAAGAAAAGGTCTGAGTCATTTTCCCACAGACGGCTTTATGATGATACAAGGAATGACCCAGGTAAGGAACAGCACAAGTGCTTTGCACAAGAACATTTTTTTTTTATTTCTGCACAGAGCTGTTTAAATAGTCTGGTCTTACTGAATTATTAGGAATCATATAATCTACTCCAGTCAAACTAGTTTTCAGCTGACAGTACTTTATTATTTTTAAATTTTAGCTTAACCAGTTCTCCCTGAACTCTGTCTCCCTCTTACAAGTTATTTTTTTAACCTCAAAAACATCAGGAAATATCATATCTAGTATCACTGAACCTCCCTTCAAAGAATCACAGGAGAGTTCAAAACCATAGCTCAAAAGCTCTCCCAAACTTTGATTAACTAAAAAAGGCTAGACTCCTTGCTCATCCAACTTCAATTACAGAATGAGGGATGAAACTGTATCTGTTTTTAGGAGTAAAAATATTTTTAAGAGGTTTAAAAAGAAGATTGTTTTTGTCTTCTCTATGAATATGTATAAACTTGTATTACAATGTAATCACACAGTGTCCAAACACTTGCATCGTGTTTCTGGACTTTATTTTAAAATGCTTAAACAAACACTGAGAGGCTAACCACACTTTTTTCCTCATATAAAATAAAAACAAAATAAAACTCTGGCAATACGCCTTTTCTGGATCAAATGCAAGAGCTGAAAGCTGCCAGAACGTCAGATTAGGAACTGGCTTTGAAAGTCGACCACCCATGTAGTCCTGAATGGGTGTTACTGGCAGGACATATGTTATCCTCAGAAGATCATGAACCAGGGCCTTCATTTTTTGCTCACCTATACGTAAGGAAGATGTTAACTAGATTTAGCTGAACTAAACTGTGAGGTACTCAGCGTATGGGAATAATAACCTTTTGAGGCACATATAAAAAATAATTACATTATCCTTTCAGTTCTCCACTTAGACAACTCACTTGGACCATACGATACAAGTTTTGGATGTGCCTCAGATGACAAAACCAGCCCAGCAGATAAGGCAAAGGAAGACAGGGCAGGGAGCCCATCCCATGGCATTCCTATGGCTGACATGACACCATCCCACCTTTCGCCGTGATGTTTGCTTCAGATTATACTCTTGCTTGTTATCTATATGCTTTCATTTTTCCCAAAATGATCTGGCAGCCCTTATCCCACAGCCATCACCGTGCAAACAAAAAAAGCAAGGGAAAAATCACACGATACACTAGTACACAACAGGCAGGGCGCAGTAGCAGAGCATCACTCTTCCACTTTGTAATTATATGATCAACCTACGGTTTTCCTGGAAGGTTGTTATACCTGCTATCTTAGGAATAACACAAACAAATAGCACCCAGGTCAAATTCTGCCTTGTGTAACTTTGGTCAAGAAAGCAGACATTGTAACAGTAACATCTGACTGGGGCTGCAATGACATTTTAGCATCAATACAAAAAAATCCCACATTTAACTACCTTAAGGTGAAACTACTATGTCCAAAAATAATTCCCATCTGATGAATGACTCAGGGCATTATTTTCCCCACTCTACATGTGCACCTTTCCCAGTAAATACGACAAAAAGAGTTAGATTTACTTGGATTACTCAGAGGTTAAAGTTTGCTGGGGAGAATGGAACTACTGAGCAACAGGGACTACATTTAATCTTTGACTATGATGACACAGAGTTAAAATAGAAGGGGGAAAAAAGAAGACAAGCTTCCATTCCTCTGTCAAACTGATCTATTGTAGGCTAGATCTACACAAATGGTGTAAAAGGTTTTGGTACAGGTTACATGGAGGAAATATTTAACATGAAAGGAAGGAATTATCTCTGCCATGTATCCAGATATCCTAGAAAGCATGGTTAGGTTTTGTCCTGCTAAAGAGTGAAATTATGGCAGTATAATGCAAATAATTGCATAGTTTATCTGTTTGCAATTATCAGACATGTCTAAATAGAAAGAAAGAACATGAAAAAGACATAATTGTAAAGGCATAGAATAAAGAAAATAAAGTGCAGAGAAAATAACTACTCACATGGGATATATGCTCATTACTATGACTGTTTGTGTGGAAACTGGATCATGTGGATGGAGTTATCTCACTAACTAATTGTGAATGTTGTAATGAGGGTTCATTGGATATGTAAATTACATGCACACACACACCAGAGAGAAACAATGGCACATGAATAAAACAGGTATTTATTTCAAAGTATTTAAAAGATTAAAGAATTGAATGCATATGTGCAGTGTTGCCATTCCTACAGGAATCACAAAATCAGCACATTTCCCATCAAAACCAGAAACTGTTTTCTGTCATTGTATCCAGAGTGTTGGTTGGATAGCAGACTGAAAATCTGAGACATGTTCATCTGAATTTGGTAAGAGTACCACTCTACTGCTTGAAACTACAAAAAATGTGATGTTCAGCTTTTGTCTTCCTTAGCACATATTATGCCATCTTTCCTGATTACGGTAGAGCAGAATCATCTAAGCAAAACCTTCTCCTTACACTTGAACCTTGGTCTCAGCTGAAAATGGAAAGAGCTCTCCCTAAGGAGAACTTGAACCCAGGGATGACGAGATGCTAAGAAGCTACCACCACTGTCCACGTTGGTAACCATATAACTAAGTGCAATGTATTTTAGGGATTTATGAAACTAATTATTACTAATTGCAAGGCTGTAACAGCAGGATCAGGAACCAATGAAGAAATATCACCAAGGGAAGGTGCACAATCAAAATGTGCCCTTCAGTTATATTTATATGGTGTTGATTTTTAACAATCTAATTATGATTCCTGTACATGTATGCATGTGCTTATATTGTCTACACACCTCTCTGATGTTTTGCTGTTGTTTGTATATTTTTTTTTTGTTTTTACCAGGCCAGCCTCCAAAATTTGTGACATTTGTTCATCCTTCACTTTAAGCTAGAATCATTAACAGTTACTCATACATATTACGTAAATAAAGCTGTTGAGTGCCATTTGACTCTATTTAAAATTATAAAACTCTGGCTTGAATTCAGACAGTTGCATGTGAACTGGTGTTATTTTCTCAGGGCTTTGATAGACAAACATTTGCATTGGTAAAATTAATTACCTCTTGTTTCAATACCAGTCTTCCTTACTTTTCAGCAGCAAAATTCTATTAGCTTCAGTAAAAACTAATTCTATCAAGCATTTCATGCTAGAACCATTACATATGTCTCGCATGCCACTATCATGCTGACTTTCTAAGAAAGGCAAGACTGTTCTTGGCAACTCCTGTTCAACAGTGGCCTCTGTGGGTATCACCCTGCTTTATTTCATGCCGCATGACGTGGGGTGTGCGATGTCAGAATGAAAGTAATGAGGTATTCAGACAGAGAATTTGAATATAAACTGTTGAATTGCTGTAAGCACTTAACATCAAATCTTTCCTATGCTTCTGTCTAATTAGATCCCACAAAAACATTCTGATTCATTCTGTAAGAATTCTCTACAGGACATGATTTTTACATTGACTCCAGATCATGAAATTAACCTACATGTTTGCCTTTAAAAAGACTTCTGTCTGCATGATATAAAATTCAGGCTTAAGGACATTTAAGACACTAAAGACATTACATTAGTGATAAAGGTATTATTTTCACCCACTACTAGCACAGAAATTGATGAAAGCAGGAAAATAAAAGTTTGTGTGACAAAATCATAATCCTTCTTTAAATTTTATCAAGAACTATAATGTCCCTTCACCCAGTAATCATACAAAAGGGTCAGGTGAACTAAAAGTATAAACCAAATAAAAATGTACTTACCCCAAATTGCCATGAAAATAGCAAAGAAGACAGTCCCTCCATTATCAAACAAATGTGTAACCTGAATAGAAAATAAATACATCAGGAACAAATAATACTGCCACCTTATCTTTTGCCAAAAAGAGTCACAGAGTATTTAACGAGTGGCAGAAACTAAAAGTTAAGCATTCCAATAAGAAGTCCTACTTGCATGTTTCTTCTACCAAGGTTTGTCCCACTCTGTCTTTCAGTATAACTCGAACTCTGGTTTTCCAGACTATCACTTCAAGCATTTCCAGTCTATTTATTTCACAGACTCTAAGAGCTGCTCTGTCTGTGCACAGACAGGCTAAAAATTCTTCCAGAGAAGAATCTACTCATATGCTGGGTCAAATTTAACCTCAACATTTTATATTTTAAGGTTTTTTATAAGCTTAAATAAATTCTGCCTTTTCGCTGTTTATCCTCTGTTTATTACTCAGTTAATGTCTCTTTTGATTCCATTTTCTTCTTGCAAGCTATCTTGCAATTTCTCAGCAAGTAAGAATAGCAGGTACTCCTTTTTATCCAGACATCTCAGCCTCTCCACTTCACATCCAGTTCCAGTTGTTCACATATTATCCTTCTTGAAAGGCTAGTGCCAATAAACTCCCACAAACATTAAATAAATTCTAAATACACCTCCAAAAAAACATAGTTCTAAATTGTGCACTTAATTTTAGCTCACAAATGTTCTTCCTTTTGTTGGATTTATCCCTTATCTTACTGTTTGTTATAAGATTTTTTGGGCATAATATTCTGCTGTAAAGTCCAAGGCTTACCAACAAAAAACAAGTAGTAATTAGTTTTTGCATGCCTATTGATCACTCTAAGCATCTGAGCAGGTAAATTTGATTTCTCACTTATGAAAACATAACAATTTATATTATAAAAATTAAGAACTCCTTCTATTCAAGCCACAGTATGGAACAGTATTTAGGAAGCTGAAATTAAGATCAGTGTACTTTGAATAGATTTAAAGTTGTCAATTTACAGCACTGCAATTTATCCAGGGATAATGGGCCTACATTTCTTCTAGTGAAAGGTAGTTTATGATGTTTCTGAGCATCAGTAAGCATAGCACATTCCTATTTGAAAAAAAAAGGCACAAATCATGAGATGATAGAGCAAACTAACTTATCATCAACAGGTGTATCTTAGAAGAAGAATCTGAAGAGAGAGGAAATAAGAATAGAATGTTTTGAAATAGAATATTTTTGAAAAGACTTTACTTTCATTGGTGTTGACTCTCTTGATGACTTAAGGACCAATTTTTAAGCTTTTGGCATGAAAAGAAGCCCATCCATATGCCAAAGGAAGGGCGCAGGTAACCAGAGTCAGTTTTGTTGTACTCTGACCTTTGCTTACATCTGAAGTTACTCTGACCAGCAGGAATGTTCTGTACAGGAGGTGTGACGGGACACCAGGGCTGACAGCCTGCCTGGGGCAGGTGACCTAACCTGCTCCTGTGAGAGCTGCCTGCTGCAAAGAGAACTCATCCTGCTGACACATTTTCATTCTTCAAGAGAAGGCTGGCATTATTGCTTCTGCCTCGCAAATCAAGAAAATTAACTCAGGAAAGCAGAAAAAGTTAACAGAAACACTATTGCTTGCCTCTATTTTATTTCTTATTGAGTAAAATTATTATAACATTGTGACAATTTAAATTAAAAACATATATTTTATCTGTATGTCTGTTCTGTTTTTATTTTCTTTTTCATTCATTTTCCCATTTTTCATTCTGAAATGGGAATTGACTATTTGGCAATGGATATCAATAAATCCAATACATTCCCTGCAAGAATCATACAGTGGAATCAATTGTACACAGAAATATGCCTTTTGCTTTGTTTTTCTTTTGCTTCCATAAAGGAAAATACAAACATAAAGGGTATGAGACCGAAAACATGAAAGGTGAACAAAAGCAGTGCAACAAACCTGATGAACTTTTTCAGTTTTGAATGTAGATGTGTGTGAGGATGTGATTTTGGATATTCTGCTCAGTAAACAGTGCACCTTTTCAAGCAAATACAAAATTAACTAAATAAAAAAAAAAAACAAGCCAACCCAGTAAATTAGTGTTACTAAAAAAAGAAAATGGCTCCTAATCTGGCTTTGTCTTTATAAAAACTGTCTGGGCTGTAGTCATTCAGCACCACACTCAGAATTAAGATTTGATTGTCTTAAGGGCTAAATGCATAGCCTGAGACTCTGTGCTGGCCAGAGGCCTCTAAGCAGAAGTGAAATACAGCAGGGCTCCTGCTAGTCCATCAGCATACCTGCCTGATGCTGTCATCGTCATACAAGACTTCAGGCACTTCAAATCCACCCTGAACCAACACCCAGCCCTGGGGCCTGAGGACAGGGTGTGCTGGGCAAAGGACCAGCCCAGAAATCCTGACTGCACCACACTAATCACCCACGGGTCAGAGAGTCCGTGTAATGCAGATAAGAATGACAGCTTGGGCATTTGGCAATTCAGAAGACAACTCAGATATTACATGCTCTTCCCTTAAATTATAAACTTCACCTCCGTGCGGCATTTTTAAATGGAAATGGAATAAAGAGGGAGGGGATGAAAGAAATGGGCAGTAACGAGAAGGAAAAAGGCATCTTTTGTATTTTGTCCCCAGCTTTACAAAAAACTTGGCAGAAATAACATTTGAAGTATATGATTTTTCTGGCATTAGTTTGTTCTGTCTGAAGTGCTCCTCTAAAGGGAAACCTGGCAGACACTCAATGAAAGAAACCCTGACAGCAGTTTTAATAATGTGCAATATGGCCTTATATAAATGTGGCAGGTCCCATGACAGAAACAGGCTTGGGGAGATAAACTTCACTTAAAGGAACTCACTTTTCCATAGTCATTGCTGATGTACTTGTATACAATGAGCTATTTGAATGGATAAGGATTAAAACACTTATTCCAGAATAAGGGTGCCAGTGCCCAGAATGAATCAGGAATAGATTCCCCTTGCATATCAGCTCTTCGGTTGTGTGTGATAGCTCCCCTTCCCTTGGTTGTGTACAGACAGACAAATATGTTCCCACAACAACAAAAGCAGAGGGAAACACTGAGAAGTTCCACCTCAGGAACAAGAAAACAAGCAGGAAATGCCATTTTCTTTTCCCTAGAGAGCAGATCCGATGCCTTCTTTTAAATACATTGGTTCCACTTACTTATATTACTACAGTGCTTCAGAAAGTACGAAGGAACGTTTGATTTTAAATCGGATTGTAGTTTTCTAACATTATAGATTGTTTTCATTCACTAATGTGGATGGAGACACAGTGGCAGTGCTGAGATGGGTTTGGGTATGTGCTGCTCAACCTGAGCAACGCAGTGGCAGCCAGCAGGATCACAGCCCCTGCTGGGAAGCAGACACTTCCTAGCAAGAGGGTAAGGAGGGAAGCTGCAGTGAACTTTTCTTTAAAGACAACACAGTGAGTGAAGACGTTACAGTTTTAAACTCAGAGTTATAAAAAGCCTCATTGAGCCTTTTTTTTTTTCTTTTTCTTTGCAATTTGGGTGCCCAGACGGTAATCCTATTTCTTCCCAAAGAGAAGTCTCACTCTCTCCCACTTGGGGGAGATCCAGAACAGACAAATCCTGAAAGGAGACACCTTTTAGCTGTCTTCTGTGTTCCAATCTAAAGTTGATCATTTTTTCAGAGCAAAAGCCTTGGCAGGAAAAGTTGGGAGCTTACACAGATTTCCACAATATTTCCAAACATCAGAAAAGGGTGCCTGTGAAGATGGAATACGAGTAGTTTCTGCTTGTCATCCCTGGTTGTCATCTGAGTTTGCTTCAAGGAGACTGATTTGAAAATACATGGAAGTATGGATGGATGGGCTTGCACATTTTTTCTGCTGCAATTAATTTTCCACAATCATTAAAATGTGAAATTTGCACGATATAAGCACAGGATGTTAGTGTAAATATAAATAAGACAAAACCTGCTTCTTATTAACTGGGGATGTTAAAACAACAGGACCTAAAGTTAAGGGGATGCCACAATACTAAATGTTTTACTCAACATTGGTCCTGCCTATACCAAGTTTCAAAATCTAACACAAAAATTGATTTTCTCTTTCACATTGCTACAGTGTTGTTGTAATTCCAGGGCCCAGAGACAACCACATTTTATAAATACAGGCTTCAGAGCAAGATTTATCTTACAGGCTAAAGAATTCCAAGAAAAATGCCAAGTCTGCTTTTCCAGCATTATGAACATACCACACATCAAAATATATTGCTCACTTGAAAATACTGCACGTACACAGAGGTACTTGTGATTATTTAAGTTTGAATGATAGCTTCTTGTAGCAAAATATTTAGTTTTGTAATATCTTTGAAGACAGAGCAAAGCACATTACAGGCATATTATGCTGGAGAATTCCTTTAGGAGGAGCAGAAATTCAATTACAAAGTAAGCAAGGAAAATAGGCTAAGAAGTTAATTATAGGAAAAGTAGGAAAAAACCTTCTAAGAAAAGTTTTTTTACTCAGGGACTTTATAAATTGATGAAAATAGTAAGGATTTATAAAGGAAATGCTAACAGAAAGTAAAAAAAAGTTTCAGAAAAAATCATCACTTCAGAGCATGCCCTTATTAGAAACATGAATTACAAAGGCTGAAAAAAACCATCTATTGAGAAACAAGTTGTTTGGCAGGAATCTTTGCTGAAACAAAAGCAGCCATCACACAATGAAAGTGGATCTTTAAACAAAAGATATCTTGAGAGCAATAAGACAATAATTACCTTGGCGTATATGCAGCTTTCATTGAGTTTTTGTAGCGTGCAATTGCGTTCACACATCGGGCACATGATGGTTTCATTTGCCTCGCAGATCTCTTTGCTTTAGTACAAGACAGGAAAATAAAGGTTATAAAAAGGCTTTTAACATTCTTCAGATTTTCTGAAGTTATGCTGTTTGCTGTTAAAGGCATCCCTGCACCACAAAACTGGCTCAATAAAATAAATTAAAAGTGAGAATTTGGCTTGAAAAGCCTAATCCCAAATCAGTAACCTGAAAATTATGGGCCCTAGAGCAATATGCAATATTTCTGGGCATCATGCTGCACTTCTCACACTTGTGAATATCCCATTCTCTCCCAAATACCACAAACAGAAGAACAAAACATTGTTCGCTACCTTCCAACACCTTTACTACATATTTTTCTAAGTGATGTAAAAGATACCAAAGAGAATGAACACCACTGGTACAACTACACTGATTTCAAGTGACTTATGCAGTTTACATCAGCGGAAGGTCTGTTCTACAGGATGATTGCATACTCACTGAGATCAGTCAGTCACATCTAAAAATCCACTCACAGGGATTTCTAGAAGTAGTATTTCAAGTCTTTGCGTTTTTATTTCCTACAGAGGAACTTACATACAGAGCTAATAAAAAAACCCTGCTTTAATATCTTAACTTTGGGGAAAAATATCTTCAAACCAAATTCTACTGCATAAAGATCCTAAGATTCAGGGAGATGAAGTCACTGCCTTCACTGGGACCATTCACATTCAAAATGTAGTACCTAATTAAGTATCTTGACAAAGGCAAAACAAAATTAACAGAAGTGCACAAATTAATTTTAAGGCAAATTTTAACTGCATTGAGTAAGCTTCCCAAAGAATCTCAGCAATCATGTTTCCCTATCCTTTACCAATGTTGACACGCGTGAAATGATCCTATGACACACCAGGAAAGCAGCAGTATAAACAAATGCCAAGAAATCTCTACTGATTTGTTTTAATAAACATTGCGCTTTCACTCTCCTCCTCATAAAAGCTCAATTTACAGTTCTACTACTGTGTGGAAGATTATGCTTATTTCCAAATTGACTACATCTATTAAATCCTATCTGACATAACAGTAAATAAGAATAAGATTCTGGTTGCCCAGATATGACTTTTAAAATCTTTGGTCATATTTCACACATCAGAATTATAATTCACTGAAACCCTACATCTTAACGTGGACCTGACAAAGAAACTGTCCTGAGTAACCCTTAAACCAGGACGAGCACAGCCAGTCATTCCAGAGTTGCAGAGTAACAGAATCTTACAGTGTGTCACATCAAAGAACTTTCTTGCTTGCATTTTCATGCAAATGATTAAGCCCAGGAAATCATATTCCAACAATATGTTACAATGGTTTGGCAATAATGCAAACTGTTGTCAAATATCAGGCCAAATTGTACTGTACTGTGAATTTAAGTTCAACATTATAAATGTTAGATTTTCTGTATTTTATAATCTTGAGTTAAAATCTTGGTTTGTTTTTAATAACATATGAAGTTTCACAAAATTATACTGACAGTGACAGGTCACATGCTTTAGCACTACTCTGCAAAGGCAATAACATTTGTTACACAAGTGTTTGTGACATGTGCTATGTTAACTGTTACCACAACTCAAATCTTCAGTATAACAAAGGAAAATAAGCTTCTTTCTACTGTCCTCACTTATATATCTGAAATCTGACTACAGCACAAGGTGCTAAGACACCTCAGGTTATGCTGTGTTCATGCCCAGCCTTTCTGTTTGACTGACAACAACAACAGTGCTAATTAATTACATGCATAAACCCATCAAGACCAAACTCTTTAAAAATATTAGATTTATTTTTATAAAGACTAATCAACATGTGACATCTAACGTGAGAATAAAGATAAATGGTAGATACAGCACATAATTTGTTGAAAGAAGAGAACCCAAATGAAGGGACTGCTATAGGACTACTTAAGCCCTTCCGTTTGACCACCACTTCACATTTCCCCCCAGTTTAGCTCAGGTAGGGCAAACGGATCAAATATAAAAAGTGCATGAAACAAGAAATATAAATTGATGCTAAGCTTTTTTTTTTCTCCATATCTGAGCCCTATGAATATAATCCAAATATTCTGGAAGCTACTATGGAGTTTCTTGAACAGAGATTTTCTGGGTTTTTCTCATTGTTACCTTCATCTCAAAACTGAATCCTGCAAGGGGACACTGTAATCTCAGTACCCCAGGGGACCTCAGTGCCGGCTCCTGGCAACCACACTATTACCAACCTTTATTCCAAAACCATGCAAGAAAAAAAGCATCCTCCTTTCCAACCGGCTTTCAGTAACACTGCATTTTGTGATAGAAAAGAAAAATGCCCCTAACTGTGTAGAATGGAGAAACTTCTGTTTCTAAACATGAGACATATATACACATTTGCTTATATAGTGTCTAGTTCCTGAAACGAGAGTATGCATGCTGGGGTTTTGTCTTCCATTCTTATTTCACCTCCCTCCTCCATGTACAATACATTTGAATCATTGAATGATTCCATCAGGGCAAAAATTATATTGTTTCCCTAAAACTGTAACTGAGGAAGGAGAGAGAGACCATGACAAGGGGCCAAAGGCAATGTGAGAGGGGCACCCGTCCTGGGAAAGAAGGAAGGGTACCACCAAAAGGGAGCGACGCACCATTTCCAACTTGCCCATGGCAGCTACAGATGAACTACATGGAGCATCTTTCCTTTACACAGGGGGCAGGGACTGACAACCCCGTACCTGGCAAAGGCTGACAGAGAGAGATATTTTTATATAATATTTTTATATGTAAATAAAAAGAGCCACCTGGTATCACGACAGGCCCCAAGCACGGAGCAGAGGCATTTATGACTTGTGCAAGTCAAAAACCAGATGATATTGTTTATAAGTGCAACATCATTCTGCATAACCCTCAAATTATTGCTGCACAAAATCTATAGCTGGCATGCCAAGCAACGTTTGGCTCTATGGCAATGTATGCTTGTGTATTTCCTCATTCTGTCTCTGCTTAAACTGTGCTGGACCTCAGTGGAAAAAGAAGAAAATGATGGTTTTCTGCCTGCAGCCACTAGAGGGGGGCTCACGGCAGCTCCCTGCGCCTGAGAGGTGACGGGATATCACTGAGGAAAGTGTGCTTCTGCACAAATAATTTCATCTGTTGCTAAGTCCAAATTTTGAGGTACACAAGGCAGATGAAATGGGTTTTTTTCTGACAGAATGTATCACATTGTAAATCAGAATTTCCTAACTCCCACTGATTCCTAACAACGGGCGTTAATAGGATGAAACCTGTTTCAAATAAAGTAGTATCATACCGAATGATATTGTATCTGGGGCAATGTGGCCATTATGACATTGCCATAATGGCCTGGCACTAGTTTTAAACTCCTCATTCCCACTGCGTTTTCTGTGTCTAGATTTTGTCAGAATAACATACCTGCCTGTTCCCTCCTGACAGCTGCTGAACATTGCATTTGCATACTGCGGTGGCTGCAGTGCTCAAACGCAAATGATATATTTAAAAACTCTTATGGATGTTTATCTAGCAGTTTTCTTTAAATGACTGCAGAAACACTAGATAAATAATCTCACAGTCCCAGAATATGGCAATTTAGGGAGGTGCAGTCTGTCTGCCTGCTAATGAATAACTCCTGTCTGCTCTAGATAGGAGATTTCTGTCTAACCCTCACTAGCCCCTTCCAGGCTCAAGTAAGCAAATATGGCAAGGAACAGCATCTGTTATCACTGGCCCTTAGAACTATTTAAGTACACAAGGTGATGCAGAAAACATCTACGTACATTTTATCAGACCAGTCACAATCAGCTTGAGCTAGATATCCTGTTCTTGAAGACACGTCTGACAGCAGGTCTTACTAACTTGGTCCTAGCAAGGCACTAACATGAAATACCGTGTCATGGCTAAGCAGAGGGACTGCATAGATTCACACCATCAAAGGCAGAGAGGATCTCCTGCTCAGAATGAACACATCCAGATTACAGATGCAGGGCTAGGACTTCTGGGTTAACCCACCCTCTGTCAGTATTTTGAAATGAACACTGGCTAATAATAGCTATAATAAATATATAAGTACTTCCCTTCCCTTTTAGGCATCTAGGTGTTGTATTGTGCATCACCTAACTTTCAGGCTCTTGCTTCTGGAATAGAGTCTGGAGCCCCTGATGGACACCCTGGTGCTCTCTGTAGCACAGCCTGACACTGAGGCACCTCAGGATGGGACCCAACACAACCAGCCTCCATCAGGAGCAACATCAAATCTGCATGTTCTGTCTGAAGCTACTCAACAGCAGTGAAAGGGAAAAACTTGGGACAGGAAAACATGAAAGCCAGCCTGCCTCTGCGTCCCTGCAACCTTCTGCAAGCAAGATGACTGTATATCTCTGTTAAAAGAACTAAGCAGGAGTTGCATCTCCAGATCATCTTGGGAGAAGTACGTGACATACACAAGCACATAATAGCTTACAGATTGAAAAAATTAAATTCTTAGAAATTATGTTCTTTTTCTTGGAGACTGTCAATGCCAAATCTTTCTCTTCCACAAGGAGTGCCTACAATATTGAGCTATACGCTGATAATAGTAGATTATGACCCTTTGTTCCCCCCCTTGTTGAAAATGTGCCATTGTACAAGTGAAGAATACAAGATTTCCAGTTCGAGAGTCTTGTGCTCCAGGAAAAGGCTGATCCTCTGCGTTACATCCATTTCATTTTACAGATGCTTATCATGCAAAACAATCCTAATACGGAGAATAATATCTTAAAGATAGCATTGTTTCCTGGCATTTATTCCATTTAATGCAGTTTGAAGTTGTAAAATCTCTCAGGAGTTTGCTGTACAAAAGGAAGCCTAAAAAAGCCTTAATTACAGCACTGCAGAATACAATAACTCACTGTGAAACAGAAGATAAAGACAATTCCAGACAGAAAATGTAAAATAGTCCTGCTCAATGCCCAAGAAACAACAATTCCTATGAAATGAGACTCCAAATATAATTACAGCCTAAGCATTCAAACTGCTTGAAGGAATAGTTGCAATTGTAAGAGCACTGATACTGTTGTGTCTGATGACATCTAATGGAAAAGTCTGTAATAAGGGTGCGTCCTGTGAAATGGTTCCTAAAAATACAGTCAGCACTTAAGTCGAGCACCCTCATCACTACTTCTAAATTGACATAAATTTCTCCCTGAGAAAATCACAGTGGGAAACTTGAAAACTAGGTTCACTTCATGTGGTTGTAATCTCCCTGAGGCTGGGTCTCCTAGCTGCAGTTCACACTGACATAGTTAAGAATTTTGTTAGACTCAACATTTACCACTATTAACACTGAGAAAAAATACAGGCATACAGAAAAGCAAGTTGAAGTTTAGCAATGGTACTACACTGTAGAAGTTATAGGCAAGATGAAGATAAAGAGGGAGTACATCTGACTTTTTTTTCACCCATTAGCCTTGACTAGAATGACATACATTGCAGTACCCGTGACATTAGAATTGGTATTTGCTGTTTTTCCTTAGATTCAGAATGGGAACTGCTGCAGATGCAGTGGTAAGAGCACTCACTGTGAATGGTATGCATCCGGCTTGATTCAACAGATACACAAAGTGGATATACTTGACTGAAGAACCCAGTGTTTTACTTGGTTATTTTCAAATGCTTACCATATCTATAAAGCATTTATAAGTATAATAATGATCTCAGTTTTACCAGACTGTTCTTCATTTTCAACAGGCTATTATGTTTTCAAATGGGATTTTACCTTACTTGGCTGGAATCCATCGTAAATAATCCATAAAGGAAAACAAAGAGCCCAACCAGGGCAGCAGGAATAAGCATTCCAGTATACCATCCCAACCAGGCAAAATACAGGCCAATTTTTTCACCAAAATATCGCCTACATGAAAAGGAAACACATACATTGTTTAAAGTTAAAATTTATGATGACCTCTATCTATCCTCACAGTAGTAAAATAATTTTAATGAGAAACTACCATTACAAGTTTATGGTAAAATTCTTGTCAGTTTGCCAAAAAGTTTCATTTCAGGCTAGCATAACATTCTAGTGGCACTAATTGCAGACTTACCAGAACATATATTTTATAAGGATATAACTGAAGTACCCTGTAATTTTCATGTCCTTGAAATGACTAAGTAGATGTACTTGTTTCAACATTATTAAATGTAGCACATTTTATTTGTACACACATTATATATACACACACAGCCCCCAAAAAATTCTGGAAAGGGATAAAGTAAGCTGGTATGAGCTAAGTATTCCATTATAAAAAAGCATTTATGATTGAAATATGTCTTATCACATTATTATCTATTATTAGACAAAACAATGGATTGAAAGCACAAGTTGAAGACTGAGCTTTAATTCTTAAAAATTTGGCTATCGGTTGCTAGAAGAGATGAAGTAGCAGAGATCAGAAAGACAGTCATGCGTGGTACTATTCGAACAAATTGTCCCATGGCACATGCTTAGCTCCACAGCCTTCAGTGGAACAAACTGGGCACAATGATCAGTTATGACTGTCATATCAGGAATAAAAACTGACAGAAAGGAAAAATAAATTATTGGCATTCAACATCAGAGATGAGGAAAGTATTTGAAATTAATAGCGCTGCAAAAAAGAACATCCAAAAGAAGCAACTTAGAGAATTCCAATCTTATCTGAATTTAGCAATATAGTTAATGCACTGTTACCAGGTAATTTGTATCACAGAAACAAGCTACTCTTCAAAGTACTAATACCTGATTAAATCGAGAGGTTGGTATTTGTACCACATTCCCCACCGTGCCCAACGCTCATATAAGAGGTGTCTGTGATTCTGAGCTCCATGTGTTTTGATGGGATGTCTGCTTTTGTGGCTTCCCTAAAAAATGCAAAGAAATAAAAATATACTACTAGGCACTATGGAAAAGACACACATTTCTTAGGTTTTTGATTATAATTTTAAACGAGGAGTTCACTGATGCTAATAAATAGTTCTTATATTATGTACCTCTCTAGGATGTGTCATCTGGAGCTAACACATGAGCCTGACAGAAGAGATTTGGTTACATATGCTTCTGAAATCACCACTTTCTCTAAGAATTAATTGTAGAGCCACACTGGTACAAGACTATACTCAACTCTTTATATGGCTTAAAGTACAGTATTTCTGTTCCACTAATATATGCTTATTTGTATGCTTCCACTGATTTCAATGCTTCAAATTTTTTTCAGATATGTTTGTATTATCTCTTCCTCTCCAATTCTGAAGCTGGAGATCTCCTTCAGTTGATTTTTTTTCCTGCCAAAAACTCCCACTACTCTGTTATGGTGAGGAAAATCTTTCATCAAATAACTCCAGATGACCCAAATAATTTCTTGGGAAGAACTCCCCAGAGCAGTACTTCAAAGTTAACAATCAGACAGATTCTTCATCCCTGTAGATCCAAGTCATTTAGCCATTTAGATTTTTATCATTTATTTGAAATCTTGAGCATTCCACACAATTGATAGAACGCTATTTACTTGTTGCAATCTGCTGACCCTCTGGTTTAAGAATGAGTTAAAAAACAAAGCTAAACATAGCAAAGAGTCCAATTCTACTCTTTTCTCATTACAGTCATCAAAGAAGCATACAAAAAAGCCAACACAGTGTGACCTTTGCAATGTCTAGGAACACCTCGGAGCAGAACATCAACTTATCCTCACAGTCAGCTGGGTGAATTACTACAATGCATAAAGCATTACCCAGTATTGCATGTTTTTAAATATTTTTTTTTTCCCCTGCTTCTTTCTGCACTGTTTATTCATAACAGAGTTCAAGCATTCCCACTGGGACTGAATTTTCACTCTCATTTACTCATGTGATCAAGGAAAAATAAAACTAAAAAAAAAGGATAATGTTCAACCACCAGCCCTTAGCACCAGTCATGCAGCAATTAAGGTAAGAGTGGCTTAAAAATATTACTTCATTAACCTTAACAGAAACAGTGGCTTATGCCATAACAAAGGAATATATACATAAAATGGATGTGACAGCTTGGTTTTGACAGCCAGAGAAAGCTTCACAGGTTTTTCTGGTAGTATGGCCAGCTTTTCCCTGAAGTCATGTGCAGCTGAAGCATTAACAACGATGTTCAATTATTTATCTAAAATACTCCTTCTCTATAATCCCAGTATTTAATTATTAATACCATATAAAAAAATTATTCTCAGCAATTTGTAAAGCACAGGTCAGTCCTTTGAAACACGAGACAAAGTCACAATATTCAGCCTGAGCAACCACAGAGTTCACAGCTGCAATTACCATACTACCGACAGCATTTAAAATGACTTAGGATGTGGGGCTTGCTTTTTTCTTTTCAATACACAAAGATTTTCTGAAAACCCTCTGAAATCAAATACAAGTTTTTCATTTACTTCTCGGGTTTACAGTCTTCAGTAGACTTTGACCTACTGAAGAAGATAACATCAAGTAGAAGTTATCCAGAACTAGTCACAAAAGACTAAATGGGAAATAATTAACCACTCTCCCTGTCATCAAGTACACATGGTGTTAGAAAACCAGAACATTTCATAGGTGACAGGCAAAAATAATTTAATGCAATGAATTTGGAAAAACTGACAATCTCATTAAGAACTTCACAGGCAATATCCAGTTCATAAAAATAAAAATAATAAATGTATAATATTCTGGCTTAGCAAGAAAATGCTCCAGGAAGTTATTATAATACATTATGTAAGAAGAATTTTAAAAGCCAATATTAAAGTAAGAGCTCTAAATAAAAAAGAGTCTCAACAGACTATGTAGTGAAATTAAAAGTTTGCAGGACAAAATTAAAAATAAAGTAGGATTTCAAAACATTAGTGCAAGCTTTAATCTAAATATAAATACAAATATAGAATTAACCAGGTTACCTCATGTGGTGGAAATGCTGCTTCATATGTTCCATTATTTAGTAGTCTATTAATACCTAAAAAGAAAAAAAAGCATTAGTTCTGGTATCAATTTTTTATACACACTTAATTTCAAGCAGTGCATATTTTCAAGTTACATTTGAGAATGTAACTTGATATTAGATGCTCAGGATGCTGCTGAACATGACAATAATCAATAATCCCACCAGCTGCTTGTGCAGGTCTTGCCAATCCCTTGAGATTTCTGGCTCTGCCAAACTACAGCAACTTCCTGAGGGCCAATGTCTGCAACTTTCCTCTCAGGCAGATCAAGTGTGAGAAGATCGTTACACTCATGTTGCATTCAACAGAGCATATGATACAGATTTCATGGGTGACCAGGTGATCTGACATGCACAGAGAGCAGTGTGGACAATCCTTCAGGCAGCAAAACCCCTGCAGGGTTAAGAGCTAACCTGGTGCTATTTTTAAATATAAGCCAGCTGAAGATGTTTGTATCAGAGAAGTGCTCTGCACCACACTGGCTACAGCATTTTGGATCAGTTCCTAGAGTCCTCCTACAAACAGATTTGTTGTACTATCAAAGCACGTTATAAAAAATAAATGATAAATAACTGTTAATAATGATAATAAAAAGATTCAGTAGCCTGCAAGACCATACTCATAGCAAACAGTTTCCCTGAGAAATAAGTACTTATGATGGATTTCAGATTTGTTCATTCAAATATACAAATTATGCTAAACTAATCTCATAATGAAATTTGCCACCATCAACTTGAAAGGCGCTTTATTTGATCTCTCATTTTCTATGGTTTTCTTCCTGCTGCTTTTCTTCAGAAACTCAAGCAGCAACTTTCTGTAATTTCTATGATCTTATTTCATTCTAAATTTAATTCCTGCAAAGAAAATAGGAAATCATAGGTACCTCCCCTGCCCACTGCAAATGAACGTGAACAGTTAGATTTCCTAAAAAATAATACTGTAATACCAGAGTTGATATGAACTGAATTTAGTCTTCAGGTCAACTGTCTCTGAGATGCATGGAGACCTTAAATAAGTTTTAGTGAAGCTCACACTAATTCTGCTGGACTGAAACTGGTGGGTAGTAGCAAAACTACTAGGACCGGTCCTAGAAAACACTCAACAGTTTTCTGAGGTGAATGGTATCTTTATTGTGACTCTTGATGACATAAAGCTATCATAATCGCTCCAATTTATTTTAAAGAATGTGTAAATAGGTGAAAAATATTGCCAATTTTCAGAGTTATTTAAGCAAATAATTGATGTGAGTGAATAAGCTGATTTCAAAGAATGGCAAAATTAATTGAGTTTACTCATAGGATACTTTGTCAGGCAAGTAAAGTTATAATTTTTTTTAATAGCTTGAAGTTAGGAAAAAACTACAGCATTCTCACCCATTTTGGATTTTCCATCTTCATACTTAGTTCTCTGTAGCATGTGATGCACAATTCTACTTCTTGTGGAATTGCTGAAGAAGCTGTCTTTGTTGTTTATCGTAAAACTATTAAAACAATGAACGGCTTTTAATATTCAAAACAATGCACAGGTGTTCAAACATAGCTGCTCAAGCATCTCCTTCTTACAGTGATTTATTGGATTTTATCCTCCTTGGTTACAGCACAAGGCATAAAATTTTTACATCCCTAGAGCATCTCCTCAGGTTCAATAAATTTAGCATCATCACAAATTATTGTTGGGAAAACAGAACAACTAAAACTAAATTCTAAAATATCCTAATATCTAGGTAATTTATGGTCTGGATATAATTAAAAAAAAATCTTCAGAAGCAGTGGTTGTTCTCAAATTCAAGTTACTTATGAGTTGGCAGATGTCTGTGACCTGGAACTACCAGAACTACTATTTAGGAAAAAAAATAAATAAATGAAAAAATTTCCATTCACTGGACACTTCAGGAGTAGTTCCACAACAACTTTTTCTTAGAGAATCCTAGGATGGAACCAAATAAAGCATCCTTTCCCAGATGGTTCTGGATTCCGGATGCCAGAAATCTGACATGCAAGCTTTTGCCTATTCAGCTGTGCCAAAAGTGACTTTATTAGCATTGATAATGTCAGCTGAGCTGGTTGAGAAATAACACCAAAACCAGGTGATTGATTCAATGCAATATACTCAATTACCAAAAAAAAGATTGAGATAATAATGCAATTAATCTGTCTTTCCAGGGAAAGTCACTCCACTAGCATATAGCTTCTTTACTGAGAAGAAAAAAGTCCTACTTAGGCTAATTTATACTTGTTCTTTAATTGAACATTTATCTCCTAAAGGAATCATCACAAAATACTTAAAAAATATAGATATACAGTCAGAATTATAAAATCTAACTTTTTTGATCCTGAAAAAAATTTATGGCACAGTTTCACCACATCATGATCAACATGCTGATTTCCACACACACAGTTTTTATTTGCTTATATATATTTAAACTTTCAGAGAAAATGCATTTTTAAAATGCAGATGATCTGGTAAGAAAGAAAAAAATCATCACTGGTTTTAGCTTGCCTCCAGCTTTTCCCAATTTCCACAGCTGTCTCAGGTTTTGCTAAGTAAAATATGCAATTAAGCAAAGCAAACTTGCACAAGTATTTGCATTCTGTAATGTAATGGAAAGAAAAACTTCTAGACCAGTCAAATTTCTGCCTATACGCCTAAGTGACCATCAAATAGCAAGTAACAGAGAGCCGATTTTGGCTTTAAGAGAAAACCCATAGAAAATATCAAATATGATACTGGGTATTTGCCAGTGACCATCTGTTAACGGCTCCCTCTATGGCACTTGTTTAGAAGAAGTGAGAAAATAAAAAATCCTTGCAGTCTCTGGTGCTGCCTTTCCAGTTCCAGCACTTACTGGTGTATGCGTGCGCGGCTAAAGGGTGCTGTGTAGCAATCTGTTTCTTCCAGATCAGGCAGGGCCTCCTTATCAAGCTTCATCGGATTTCTGGGCAACCAACTTTTCAGCTCTCTCATATTCCTCTGCAAACTGAGCCAATAAAAAAAAAAAAAAATCAGATTTACATACTCTCGCTTGTTATTTCTGTCTCCCCATGTTGCATATTTAGTGACATCATAATAGAAATGGAATGAAATTAAATGAAAGCAGGAAATTTCCATAGTATATAACTAAGAAAATAAGCATTTAAAGAGCAAAATTAACGGTATTTATTTGTGATCTATCTTGCATGTTTTACTTGAGCACAGCTCATCCTAAAATTAGTGGGGTTATGGTTTGAGATGGGGACTGCAGTATTGAGTCTAGGGAAAATAATTTTCCATCTGGGAGAACTGTGAATGCTCATACCTTTCTCAAGAACGTATCTAATTACCTTCTCTAGCCCTACTGGATAAGGCAAGGGTAACTCCTCCTCCCTCCCTCCCTTGCCTGGCAACCTGGACACTAAAATTCATAAAATTTTAAAGTAAATAAGAGATTGCTTAAGATCAAATTTTTATGGTTTTCCGATTTGAATAAAGTCTTCCCCTGTAAAATTTTCCTCAAAATTCATGGGCTGATATTGCCTTACAAAACAGTATACCTAAACATCAAATAAAGTAAATATGTTATACAGATATGGTTATACAGTATTTAGACAAAAACAACCAAACTAGGTATGGTTTCCTGCTGTTTCCTAAAATTTGACATTATAAACCACAAATAGAACACAATTTTTGTATGCCCAGTTAGATCATATACTGATAACATACAGGGCTTTCTGCTACTGGCAACTTGCCTAAATGGTGTCTCAGAACCTGGTTTATAGAGGAGTAAATCCAGTGAAGCGCAATTAATTTTTAAGCAAATGCCAGAAGTTATCTCTTTATCACTTTAATTTTGCACTCCTCGCTGACCTATGTTTTTCATATTCATATTCAACTGCAATGAAATACGGGTATTTAAAGAGCAGGTCTCATACTAAATGAGTGCTATATTATGACTCTATCAGAATGTCAGAATCCAGAAAAAGTCTAAATTTTAGAACACATTCCGTAAATAATTTTGTTTTGGTGGGATTTGGGCCTTACTAAATGAAAAGTGTAAAGCTAAGTATCAGATTATTTTTACCTGAGGTGAGTACTTAATTGCTCATGCTAAGCAGAGGCACAGATACCCATTTCCTAATTAAGACTAATAAGTGATGACATGGTAAGTTGCTCTCAGGGAGCAAAGCGACTTTTGTAAAAATGTACCTCTTCTTACCAGCATCAGCAAAAAAAAGTTCTACCCCTATTTGACACAGTGTCAGACAGAAATCTAAGCTGAACGTGGGATCAGAATTTTACATTTACATTTATCAAAATTTTCTTCTTGCTCTATACTGCCAAGTGTCAGACAGAAATCTAAGCTGAATGTGGGATCAGAATTTTACATTTACATTTAAAATTCTCAAAATTTTCTTCTTGCTCTATACTGCCAAAGTATTAATAATTGGTGCACACTCTACTGCACTTGAGGGACACCACTGTATTTGACATGAAGCATTATGAGTCAAAGAACTTCACTATGTTCATAAAGTTGAAACACAGAATACAGTTCCCAGACAGGTGCATCCCTTAAGTGTTTCCTTTACTCAAATGATACCTTACCATGTGAGTTGATTATTTTTATTGGTTCCACTGGAATTTCTCTCAGCACTAAGTTATACACAGTGTATATAAGTACGGTTTTCTCTTTATTTTCTTAATCTTTTTTCTGTTGTACACATGCTGGTTTTGTTTTTATTTGAGTCAAAACCCAGGCTCTCCTTTAATGAGGAAAATTTACAGATGTATCAGTAAGAACAGAAAAAAAAGATGCATCTGATTTCCAATTTTTTATTATTAAATTCTTTTAAAATTGGTTACGTGAAAAGTCTTGATCATTTTCTCCCTCCAAAAATCTAAAAAGCTAGTAAATAATTATCTTAGAGAAATTAGCTCGTTTAAAATTCATGTCTGCTTCCTTTAAGATATAAAGTAATAAAGAACATTATTGGAATAAGTTCAAAATTATATCCACATTACATCTGCAATTTCTCTTCTGAAGAAAAAAGGCTTCTTATCTAAGGTGTGATTGCTTTTTCATTGCATCACTTATGGTTGATCACTCCGTAACATAGTGTCTTCAGAAAACATAGAATATTTCGGCTGGAAAGTACATCCCTCACCATGTACAAAAATAATCCAGCAAGAGAAACCTCTTTTCTTGGCTTACATTATTTTACAGTTGAAGAAGAAACTTGAAGAAGTTTCATGGAGCTTTCATTCAAAGAGATAACAAATTTAAGACAATTTTTGAAATTTCATGGAGCTTTTATTCAAAGAGATAACAAATTTAAGACAATTTTTTTCCTAAATCATAGGACTAAGTATTAGCATTTTTACCCAAAGAGGCTTTCTAGGTCAAAAGTAGCAGTTTAAACAGATTCCTGACTTAATCTATTCAATGTAGTCTATTTAATAAGAGTAAATGCAGACAGAGCTGGTCTGGTAAAGTCTCTCCTGAAGCCAGGAGTTCACGCAATGAGATCAGAAACCTCTCAGTGGAACAGTGCTGCGAAGATAGGGGTTGCTACTTCAGGTACGCTCTCATTGAAACCACTCCAGCTGGCAATACTGCAGCTTTATGCAGCTTGGCCTATGGGATAAAACTCTGAAACACAGATATATATTATTCTTAGCTATAAAATTTAATATTTTATGAAGATGCCTGTAATTTCAGCTTTGCTCAACTTCCACGCTCAACCGTACTGTTCTATTTGGTTGGTCTCTTTTGCAGTTGAAAAATCCTCGCAGACTACATTTCCTCAGCAGACTGCAATGCACAGAAACACAGTATAGGTGAGTATGGAATTACCTGATCAGACTTGTGGAATGAGATACCAGAATTAAATAACTGCCACTGATCATGTCAGGTATTTTGGACAGCAATCACCACCTGGTAGTTTGCTTGGTGTTTGCACCTCTCAAGACTGACCAGAATTGTCAATCACATGCCACCAATACATGGGTGTGGTACGTTCCTATGTTTTGTAATGGGAAACATGTTATTGTTGATAGAATCAACATACGGACACAATCATCACTAAAAAAGGGAAAAAAATGATACTGTATTTGTTCAACAGAATAATACTAACAATTTCACTGCAGTGGACTGAAATCCAAAAGGTTTTAAAAGTCCTTTTTCAAAAGTCCAAAAGCAAACCTACTGCAGTTCGGTTGCTAAACAAAGTCATTTTGGGTTCTCTATCCTTAAAAGTATAAATTTATTTAAATATTTTAGCAGGTAGAGTGAAGCTGCATACTAAGGTAACTATCTTTTAATTTTCTTTTCCTTAATGTCATTCTTAACTATCATGAAATTGGTGTGCCTGATATGGCGGATACAAGACTGATTCATTTGATTATTCAGTCTTAAAACTGAGAGTTCAGACAATTTTTGATACCTACATTATTTGTTTGCATATCCCACTTCTACAACTTCCTTTCCTTTGAAAAGACTTGTTGAAGGCTTTCCAAATATTGCTTTTAAGGAGTATGATAAAATTACTTCTACAGTGTGGCCCTATGGATAGAATTCAAGCTTAAGGATTAAGTACAACATTAAGGGTTGGTTTTTTAGGGTATGTAAATAGAGAAATAGAGAGATGCCACATAGATATCACATACAAGAAAGAGAGTATACCAGTAAGCATTAAATTTATCTTATGTCCTTTCATTCATACCCCTAATAATCTTTTGCAGACTTTTTAAAGGACTTTTATCGATATATACATCTACCATATAACCATGGCATTCAGAGAAGCGTGCATGTCACAGCAAGGTCTAATATACTAATGTTACCTCATTATCTTGAATTATAGAAATTCTATAGCCTTAAAATTTTACCTTTGATATACAAGGGTTTCAATATAGTAGTCATTATAGTTCTTGTAAACTCTGCTTAATAACTTAGAAATGTTAATGAGACATTTGAAAATTACAGAGAAGCAGTTAAGTTTGAGAAGTTGTAAGATGCAAAGAACAATGACAGCAGTAGAAGTTAAAGTGATGTGTGTCAGCAATTTTATTTTCATTTTTAGATGTAGCTTCTTTTTTTCTTTCTTTTTTTTTTTTCCCCACGCTATTGCTTTGTGCACTGGATTATATAAAGTGCCAGAAAAAATATGCAGAAAGATTCATCCTCAAATTCTCACATAGTAAATCACAGGTAAAAACATTTGTTTCAAATGAAAAAATCAATCTGGCATGAAGAGTGTTTATTACTTGGTTCACAGGTACTGTGCAACTTCAGTTGCATGTTTCAGACATCTGTCCATCTAAATAAGGAAAATAAATGTATTTAATATCTAAGACTCACCAGATGGATTATAGATGAAATGAGATAATTTTGCAGTAAAGCTTGTTGATTTTGCCTTTGCATTACAAAGTACACCACTTACATTTTTCATAATGCACACTAAAATGGAATAAGCATGGGAATGACTGGGAAGAGGGAAAAACGCAGTTGTAAATTTATGTTATAGAATGTTTTATTTCAATATATTTTATCTGCTTATGTGTTTAAAGTTTTCTCACTTTACTGTTCAACACTGCATTGTCTATTTTTGTTAGCTATCTTCTTGCAAACTGATATCATGAGACTACTTAAATTGTTCCCGAGAAATAATAAGAGCTCTTCATCATCTAAAGTAACAACCGGAGAATCTAAATCAAATGTAATCTCATCTCAAGATCCATCTTGAGAAAACCCATGATAGAAAAAAATTTCAGGAGATTTCCCTCATGTAAAAATTTTCATATCTTTTCCGTAGGTAATTAGGATTTACAAGACATCATCATGTCTCACTAGAGCAACAGGGAATGCTTACAGCTCCCAGTGTCCCCTGTTCTCATTCCCCAGCTCCCCCAGGCTCCTTTCACCAGCTGCTGTGGCCTCTTGAACCCTTCTCCTGGCTGACAGAGGCAGCAGCAGCCACTGCAGCTGAGGTTCGAGTGTGTCTGCCTCCCAGAGAATTAAACAGCTTTCACTGCAGCGTACAAGTTACTCTGTCAGCTCTCACACCAAAATTCAAAACAGCCTTCTGTCTGTGGCACTGATTTAGCTCTGATCACTGGGACACACAGGAGCAAAGTTACGTTTGCCTGTCTAAGGATATAGCTGCCTACCAGCATCTGAGACATACACTCAAAAGTATTTCTCATGCTAAAGAAATATGTCTTGGTAACAGCACACATAACTGTAGAAGTAGTTCCAGTATTAAATCTTTGCTGCCAGAATAAGGCCATTTCTTTTTTTCCTGGCATAAACATTTTTGCATTTCTAAAATGAGAACTGGCAAAGCTCTAAAGTACTGCATCTTGGCACAGATGAATATTTTAACACTTTGAGCTAGCATATTTTGGGTTTTCAGGAAAATAATCTAATTTTCCAAGTTTCCTCGATAAATTTACAACTGCGAATGGATTTTCTTTAGCAGGGTGAGTATCTGACAAAATTAGAAGCTACACATCACCCACCAACCTGCCCATGGTTTTGCTCCTCCAGTCAGTGTAATAACATTTTTTCCTGAAAGAACAGCAAAAATCAGCTGAGAATAATCAAGTAGGAGACAGCTGAAAAGAACATATACATTATAAAAGAACAGACATTTTAAAACATGCATTTTTACAGGCAGAAAGGTGAAAAACACTTAAAAAAGGCAACTGAAATACAGTAAGTCATTAAAATGCTCTAATTTCACATACTTTGGAGTTTGAAATTTGTTCCTGAGTCAAAATTAAGTTTCAGATTTGTAGCTAATTATAATAATAGCTAATCAATAATTGAATCATAAGACACCCATCAGACAGGGTTCAATGGTGTCGCACTAGTATTCATTTCATATGATCTTTCTTACCTTTTATTTCATAAAACTCATTTTAGAAGAATCACCAGGGCTTCCGTGATATTAAATGCTTTATGCACTCTGTGCATTAAATACTATAAGCGCTTAATGCCATTAGATCCTATCTTCGTTCTCTGAAGTGGTACACCATCACCTTCCCCTGACATTTTGCATCCAACTGAAGAACACCACACAGCCCTAAAAATCTTAGAGTACTAACTGCAACAAAGAACTTTTATGTTAAAAGTTCTTTTTTCTCTGCCCTTCACTGCTCATAAACACTTAGAGAAACAAGACCAGAAATTCCCAGTAAGGTCTTCTAAGAACAGTTACTTTGAAACCATATAGAGACATATTTGCTGCAATGTAATATTTTGCACATCTAGGTTCAGTTTTTCAGGGTTTTTTTTTCTGGCCTCTTCCTATCATTTCATGTCATATTTCAACCATGCAAAGGCCTCGATCTTGCAGATTCCTTGGGGTACCCACATGGCACTCATCTGGGGACAGTGTCGTTGAGCACCAGGGGCTTGGCTCCTCACCAGTTCATCTTCAATTTAAAATTCGTCTAAATCCTTTCTACTTCTGCAAGGTTTATTTTTTAGGAGGAATTACAACAAGCTTATTTGGATACATTACTACAAAAGTTAAACGTTATTTCAGTTGGTATTTTATCTCCCTCACTCCATTTTAACACACACAAAAATGGTACGTTCACTCTGGATACTTTTCCATGACTTCTTCGCCTAGATCCAAACATAGTTAATGAGCTGCCACTGCCCATCTGGGCAGTAATTGAGGCTGATTGAAGTATATTACTAAGATTAAAGTATGAATGAATACATTAGAATGAGCAAGAAGGAAATGTTCGCTGAAAAATACATGGCCATTGGAAACCTACGTAATCTACCAATCTGCAAGCTGTTGTCCGCCTGATACTTGGTACTGCAAGGCAGAACTGTAAACGGAGGAATGAAGATTTATTAAAGGCTTTGCAGACATTACAGTTTTTAACAAACCCTTTCCTTCATTCCCTTTAATTGCCCTTAGCTGTTTTGCACAGATGGACTCCAGCAAAGCTACAGATACAACTAATTTATTCAGTACCCACAATAATAATTATGTGCCACAAGAGAAACTTGTAGACACAGATAAAATTAAACCTTAGTCTGAGTTACAGAAATATATAACAGAGTTTCATTCCTACTGACAGACAATATACTTAAAAAAAAAAAAATCCATAAATTGTATATTCAGTCATGATCTAACCTTGGTGTTAACATAAATCCTGTTTGAAACCATATATAAGACATCAGTGGTTACCACAGACTGGTCCTTTGAAACATTGGAAAAATTTCCTTTTGTAATTGAAATAGTGAGATTCCATCCATATTATATACATGACATATAGTACATATCTGCCAACACATTTAGGTATAATGCCATGCTAAAACAATTCTGGGGTGCTGGGTGATCCCTTGGGTCAGAAAAAACACTTCAATTTTTCAGCAATGAAGAGAAATACTTTCTAACCTGTGCAACAATTCTATTGAGTTCATTGAGATTCCTGGATTGAGCAAAACGAACCTAAAAAGTATGAGTTTAATCCTTCATGTATTGTTTATATATGGTATCACCAAATGGTATGTTTTAGTGACCACAACAAAAAGCCAAGATTTTGCAACACTGTGCAAGAGAACAAGGGTGTAACTGCATTAAAGTACTGCAGGGAAGGTTAGTTCTCTTCTTCAGTTATGTATTAAAAATGGACAGTCAGAAACCACTGATAAATCAGATAAAGGCTAAGAGAAATAATCTGTTCTTAGAATCACAGAATATCTCAAGTTGGAAGGGACCCATAAGGATCATCGAGTCCAACTCCCTGCTCCTCGCAGGACTATCTAAAACTGCCCAAGGACTACCTAAAACTTCTTGGGAGGGAACTACTCTAGTTCCTTGTCTTTGGGGGAGAATTGTGTGATTTGAGCTTCCTCTGTCCATTGAATGGAGAAAACAGCTCTCTCAGGTAAACAATATATGCCATCCAGTTCAGAAAAGTTTGATTTAAACAAGCAAGCTCAAGAATTAAAACAAACAAAAGTGCTTTTGACAGAAGGTGTCATTAAATTATAAAATGCCTGGTCACAGGATGTTGTTATGGAAGTGTAGGTGGCTATTTTTGCATCCATGAAAAGCCATCAGGGGCTAATATAAACAAAGACACGAAACTCTGGCTCAGACAGTTTCTAAACCACAGCTTTCCAGAAAGAGAGAAGGCATCATGAAACACTTCAGATTTGCTTGGCTTCTGTACTAGACACTTAAGACAGGCTAATGGCAGAGCAAGACAGACTTTGTTCTATTCTGCTACGTCAACTTTGTGTTCACAATAAAATTATCTTTTATTTTTTAAAAAGTGAGAAAATAAAGAAATAGCCTGTTTGAAATATTCACACAAATTTTAGATTTAAATTTCATTTAAATTTCTATTAAGATATTTTTAAAGAGAAAAGAAATGGTGATCTGTTTACTATTTCTCATAGTTCAATTACGGAGGTAGAGGTGGGCATTGGACTTTTTTCTTACCAAATAGATGTGTTGCATTCTACAGCAAAACTGCCAACAAGGTGAAGCAGCAAAATTTAGCATTTATCTCCTTTTGGTGCTTTATACGTCAGTTAATAATATAATAAACAAACAGGACTTTGAATGCCTTCCAAACAAAGTAGCATTGCAAAAGTCAGCTCTTATTTTTCCTTCCTGAAGCACACTACTGATCTGTGAAGTTACTAAAATGATGAAGAATTAAAATCATTGCTAAATCCTAACTTAATTGTGACTTCAAGTATGAAAAGCAAGATCTATTTTTGCATTGGAATTTAGACTGTTTATGTGTGTGTGCACACATATGCAAACACTTCTATATTTAAAATGTTGACAAGTATTATTCAAACTAGAGAAGCTCTAATGGCACTATAATAATATTCTCAAACATATGGAAGATGACTGTTACAGAAAACATTTTATTTTATGGAAAGGACTTTGAAGGCTTAATGGGATGATGTGGCAACTCAGTATAGATCTGGGTATTTGAAGCAAGTTTTGAGCAAAGGATGCTTCACGATGACTGTTTCTGAATTAGGACTGATGCAAGGGAACCACACTGCCATAGCTGAAATCAGCAGGGACAGGAAAGATACAGCACTTGGCAATTCAAGCGAGAAAGGACACGAAACTCTGGCTCAGACAGTTTCTAAACCACAGCTTTCCAGAAAGAGAGAAGGCATCATGAAACACTTCAGATTTGCTTGGCTTCTGTACTAGACACTTAAGACAGGCTAATGGCAGAGCAAGACAGACTTTGTTCTATTCTGCTACGTCAACTTTGTGTTCACAATAAAATTATCTTTTATTTTTTAAAAAGTGAGAAAATAAAGAAATAGCCTGTTTGAAATATTCACACAAATTTTAGATTTAAATTTCATTTAAATTTCTATTAAGATATTTTTAAAGAGAAAAGAAATGGTGATCTGTTTACTATTTCTCATAGTTCAATTACGGAGGTAGAGGTGGGCATTGGACTTTTTTCTTACCAAATAGATGTGTTGCATTCTACAGCAAAACTGCCAACAAGGTGAAGCAGCAAAATTTAGCATTTATCTCCTTTTGGTGCTTTATACGTCAGTTAATAATATAATAAACAAACAGGACTTTGAATGCCTTCCAAACAAAGTAGCATTGCAAAAGTCAGCTCTTATTTTTCCTTCCTGAAGCACACTACTGATCTGTGAAGTTACTAAAATGATGAAGAATTAAAATCATTGCTAAATCCTAACTTAATTGTGACTTCAAGTATGAAAAGCAAGATCTATTTTTGCATTGGAATTTAGACTGTTTATGTGTGTGTGCACACATATGCAAACACTTCTATATTTAAAATGTTGACAAGTATTATTCAAACTAGAGAAGCTCTAATGGCACTATAATAATATTCTCAAACATATGGAAGATGACTGTTACAGAAAACATTTTATTTTATGGAAAGGACTTTGAAGGCTTAATGGGATGATGTGGCAACTCAGTATAGATCTGGGTATTTGAAGCAAGTTTTGAGCAAAGGATGCTTCACGATGACTGTTTCTGAATTAGGACTGATGCAAGGGAACCACACTGCCATAGCTGAAATCAGCAGGGACAGGAAAGATACAGCACTTGGCAATTCAAGCGAGAAAGGAGTGTTGTAAGGGTATTTTCCGTGAGTCATACAGCTTTGGCATCCAGTTACTGCTTCAACTCCTGATGAGGTTTGCAGCACACTAAATGCTCTTCTCTCTCTGGAAGAACATTATTAAACAATTCGAAATTTTCTCCTTTAAAAATTTCTCTATTAGCGCAGGAGATATTAACATGTCCTACAAATAAATAACAAATATTTATTGCAAAAACATATGACAGAATCTGTTTAGCACATAGAAAAGGAACTTGGTTCAGTTCACTATTCTGCCAAAGGAAAGCTGGAGGACCAAGAAATAAAGTTCTCATTTTATTCAAAGTATGCCAAAATATTAAGAGATACCCCCAAATCATGGAGAACACTTGAGCTCAGATGAAGAATATCTGAACCTCTGCCAAAGACATCCAAACCAATGTGTGAGCAGTATTTTCTGAAGACATACGCTCGATGTGACTTGGAAGGTAAGTCTGAAAACAAGTATCACAGGTAAATGTGAAAAGAGCAGTGCCTACTATTTGTTTCTCCCTATCACTTCACTAAATTAAATATGAGCATGCCTGGCCACAATGCAGCAAAGACTTCATTATAGCCTTAAGGTAAGTAATGAACTTTTAATATTAAGCACTAAATTACAAGTTTCTTAAAATAGTTTCCACAGTACCTGAAAGGCATCCTGATGTTCATCCTTTCTGCGTATTTGCACAACGTCTCCCATGGACAGTGAATTTTAACAAACATGATATCACTGTTCGTAACAGCTGGCTGTAAAGAGCAGTAACAAACAAATACATATTAATAATTCAAACCTCTATGGCATTCACCTTTCCAATAGAATTCTTTAGGGTCAAATTCTGCTTTTAGGCCTGAAGTGGCCATGCAAGTTGGAAAACACTGTGAGCGCTCTCTCTGAGCTAGTCAAAGGAAAATTAATAAACTATTTTTTTTTTTTCTCCCAAACCCTGTAATACGAGTAAGCTAGTAACTATCAAAAGTAATCATTACGACAGATCTTTGCTAATAAACACAGCAGAAGTAGAGTCAGGCTTTACATAGCACTTTTTGACCTGGAATAAATGAATTAATTTTAAATCCTCTAAGAAATATCTTAGATGTACAGTTTGAAGACCATTCTGTGCGTCTCCCATTTAAGGAGAAGAGTGTTCAACTGCTAGAGACATAAGAACAGCTGAGAGAAGGCTGCAGGTTCCACTCTGCCAACATGACAGCTCCAGGGAATGGTTAAGTAATTGTGAGACATCCAAACGTTTTTCATCACTAATTTATTTGCACATAAACCAAAAGTTTCAGTATTACAGGTTCCTATCTTTATCTTTTCTCATGAGAATTTCAGTTCTGCACCCTTTCACCAGTTGTAATTCCTTGACTTTTTATAAGTAAATATTTTGATAGAGTTGAGTCTGATTAAAGCCTCCAAAAACCTGAGTAATGCAAGGTTTGGTAGAATAAAATTTAGTAACAGGGTTAATAGAATTTAAAATATTCAAAATTCTACCTAAGAGTTCCATAAAGTGATGTCACAGTTCAATAATGCTACTTCTAGGATTTTATTTTTCTCAAAAGATATCTATAAGAATATATGACCGGAAGACAATTTATAACACATGATATCTAGAATAATAGTCTTACAAAAACATTTTTTTTCCCCTGAAGTGTCAATACTTCTGAATTGACAGCAGCTGAGATTGGGGTATTTATTGAAATCAGAATAAAATCAGATATCTTTATTACTAGACTGTAACACTTTTCAAAAGCCTTAAACTCACATTTTAATCCACTGTCAGGTTAGTTATTTTTGAATACTCCCTTCATTGTCAACTAGAACTTGCAAAGATTTCAAAACACTTAAATGCTCATTGCTTTAACTTAGAATAATGACAGACAGGATGAAAGACACATGAAGTACAGAAGCTTGCTTAAGGATAGACAAATATATGCCTGATTTATAAGTAGTTAACAAAACAGCAAAAATCCAACATTGTTTTCCTTCATTTTTATATTAATACTGTCATTAATAGGGTGGATTAACTTGACACTGGCAATCTTAACCCCTTGAAAAACAAGAGACATTTAGTATCATGCATTCTGCTGAAAGACACAGAGGTTATATTTTAAAGCAACAACGTGAGTTCCTGCAGCTTCTTCTCTTCTGGAAGCATAAGGAGCTAGAATTTTTCCCTCTGTACTGCACTACAGCTGTGTATGGTACACCTGTGTGCATACAAGGATGCATCCCCAAAATATGCTGAACATACACTATTGAACAATGGTTATTATTAATTTAATAGTATTAAACAAATAGTGGGAACAGCCGGAGAGGCTTGTAAGATTGTCAGGAATCTTTTATAAATTCAGTAAAGCACAATAATATTATAAAGGGTTTTTTATGCCACATAAGCTACAAGACTCACCTCTCGTTCTAACATCAACCCTTCTGCTCTCAAATTCTTCTCAAACGTGCTTCTTTTTTCTACCTGTGGACTTGACTTTTTGTAGACCAAGATGTAATCAATGCGCTTTTTACCATCTTTGAAGAAGAGTCCTGATGATGCCATGGCATCAGCCTGTGGAAGATAAAATAAAAATACACTAAATAAGGCATCCATAAAGACGAAGAGTCCTATCATGAACTGCATGTACCACAGTATTTCCTAAAGCATGGAGATGTCCACATATCTGCAGGATGAATATGTAAAGAAGACACAAGAACAGGCAGTTCATAAGTACTAGATACTCAGGATTTCAAATTAATTAGAACAAAACAAAATAAAATAGCTCCACAAAACCCATATTCTAGCTATTTCTTTCAGCTGTGCAAAAAACTTAAAATTATGATGTGATATATACTGATATGAACTTCTATTAATCCTTACTTTCCAGTAGGAATTAAAAAAAATTAAAGGCAGGTAAATTAAAAAAGTTTCCCAGCTTTGTGCCTAGGCAAATTTTGTACTTGAATTTTCTCCAACAGATAAATAAATCTAAAAAATCAAAAAAGAAATGCTATTGTTTGGAATGTTCTCCTGGATATTCTAGCTGAACTGCTTTTTCAATGCTACGTTAGCAATGTTTAAATCTTGTCTAGTTCCTTTCCACTGTGCTTGCAAACACAAGGGATTCTCTGACCTTGATATGGAAAACCCTGCTTTACATCCTGCTGCTGCAAGCTATTTTTGCATTCCATGTTTTGCATGATTCAGAACAGACAGTGACTATATCAACTGGTGTCAGACTATGAAGACTTCAAAATCTGAAAAGGTAAACTGAGAAACTATCACCATCTTCCAGAGAAAGCAGCACTCATTTAAACATAAAGTGTCCAGAACAAGTAGGTTAGTTTGCAGTAAGATACATTACACCCATATATGTGGGTCTAAAAGTCCACAAATGCTGCATCTTTTAGCCAATAGGATGCTAGTCTTAGAAATTCACCCATCCTATTTGGATTATTTGATCTGAAATTTATAATACCCAGAACTATATCCAATAATTACACTCTCTATTGATAAATAGAACCAAGTGTTAGTCCATGATATCATCAGTATAAATACAGGATACCAGCTCACTTGTTTGTACATGAAAGATTTTTCTTACTCCCACATACCTCACTGCCATCATTCCAAATACTTACTCCTTCTGAGAACTCCTCAGTCTGCAAAAACTACGGTTTTCTAACAAGATACTTCCTTTTTCTCTGCTTTTTTAACTCCAAAAGCAAAACCCAAGAACAGTCATTCTCAGACCAACTAGTGTTACAAAGGAGGGCATCATCACACATCTGGGAACATTATTTAAGTACATTAAGCTTCCATTTAAGTACAATTAAGCGCATTTTTCCCCTCAGCAGATGGTGATGTTATCCTCTGTCTTTTCCAGATGACAATTTTCGAAATTACCCATAATAGCATTCTGTTACTTGCTCCAAGGTACACACCTTTTGCTTGGCTTTTGACTTCAGATTTTCCTTTTTTACTTCCATAAGAAATTAAGTTAAATATAACAAAAAAGGGAAAATATTTACTGATATAACGGTCAAACATTTGTTGAAGAATAGCATACCCTATACTCTACTAGTTTATTTTTACAGATACTTCTATTTATCTCAAGATATTCAGATAAATAGTATCTGAAGTACAAATTAAGGTAGTCAAGACTGTTAAGCAAGATTATTAGTGCACTCAAAACAGGGTCTGTCACCCTTTCTAAGAATTCTGAATGGGGATAGTAGTAAGAACATTAATTTTTATTCTTCTATTAAATGTCATAGATGTAATGACCTAAAGATACAAGATATACAGCTTTGAAGATGTAGTAGAATAAAGGTTTGAAAGTCCAAGTTTGAAAATGCAAGTCCTTGAATACCCAAACTTTTTTCAGGTTTAAGACACAAGCAACAATGAAGAATTCCAGCACAAGTATTTCACAAAAGCAGACTAGAGTTGCTTTTGTGGTCCACAAAGCAGGCAAAATCAGATAGAAAAAGCCTGGCCAAAATTTTCCCAAAGGGGAGATCTGGAACTTATACAATTTCTGCTCATGCAACTTCTGTACAGATATTCTGCAAATTAAATCTACCTTTTTGTGATACACTTCTACCTTTCTTTGGATTATTATTTATAGCCTTTCTTTCCTCATTTCTAAAACATCTGATTTTCTTCAGTCTTGGAAAAACGTATTTTCTTTCTCAGATTAACAACAGTATGCAAATATGCCCTCAGATTCATCGGCACGAAATAGAATTCTTCGGGGGCAATGCTCAATAAATAACGAGCTGCACCGATAGTGGAGAGAAATTTTCCATCTGTTCATCTCAGACAACTTTCAGAGTCCTACCACCACAGGCTGAGACGTGCAACAGTGAAGCCACTTACCACAGTCGTGCAGTGAACCCAATCTATATTCTGTCTTTTTCCGGACTGATTCACTTTAATGGCACTGGCACCGCTAGCTTCACTTTAGTGCAATTCTCAAGCAATGTTGCCTCCCTACATTAGCAGGAATACCTGTGCCAGTAGAAGAATTTATCTGGTGATTTAGGTGTTTTTTCAGTTGATCTGAAAGAGCTCCATAATGTGTATAGAGAACAGGGAGCAGTAATTTCAACTAAAGGTATGAGTCAAGGTATATTGGCCTCTATCTACACCCAGCACAGTGAATCAGTCTGGGCATTCAGGCAAAGCATATTTATTATTTATCTGCTGTTTTGGACCAATAAATCTCTGATTCATTCTTTCACCTTTTTCTCAAGACAGTGGAGGAGAAAAGCACTAGATAAAATATTTTCTGCAAAGCCTTTACTCTCCTCTACTCTTTTTAAGATTTCCTGTTTCACCAGAAAAATGTCTATAAAAAGGACTGATCAATGTTTGTTTTTCTCTCTAATCCTCTTCATCCTCTCTACCCTCTTAGTTTACCACATATTCTGAAACAGTATCCACCTATCAGCTTTCCTACATTTACACACATCAAAACTTATTGAAGTTGGATTTGAGAAATTTCTTTTAGAGTATTGCTATACCTAGTTCAGCTTAAAACCAAGTTTTAACTTCACCTTGCTCTTCCCAAGTGTTTAAATACAAGAACTTTAAATCTTATAGATTTGTGTACCGAGGCTTTGAAGCACTCTTCATTCAGCAGTATTATTATAACAAATAACATGCTTAATAACACCCTGGTTTGAAGTCTGAAACAATGTAAAACTCAAAATACTGACATTAACAATTCAAATGACAAAAGTTGATCAATTTACCTAGAATAAGAAGCTTTTGCTCAAGCAAAACAATGAAACAAAAGTATACTTAGCAAATACTTAGGAAAGTTATAAAGTATATATATATATATATAAAGTATATATATATATATTTCTATTCAAATCTGGTACAAGAATTTCCTTGGATTTAGCCAACATGGAAGGCTTCTTCAAGAAACTATTTTTATATTCTAATTAATAAGCAATGCCTACTTTACAAAGTGGGCCTGTTTTACAGGCTCTTCTCTCCCCAATTAATTAAAACAGTGCAATTTGCAGAAATTGTAATTATTTCAATGCTACTGCTTTAAGTCTACTGTTCCACTCTGTAGAGGAAACTTTTGCCAATTTTTCACCCCATACATAGACAACAAATATTCCAGAAGAGTGAGTTGGAACCATTCTCAAAACAGTAACCAAATTTTAGGTCCATGTAAGAGTAAATCACACCTTACAGTAGACTTCAGTTTTACAGGATTTTATTAGTAGCAAAACCACTAGAAAAATTTGAAACTTACTGAAAATTAGTGGAAAAATACACTGTAACATAATATATCAGTATACTTTGCCCCCCGACCTCCCCCCGCCTTATACCAGTAAATACTTCAAGTTAATTAATAGTATGTACTACTACTGGGAACTTAACTAGAACCAAATGTAGATACAATGTATCTGCTGCAACCATTCATTTCACCTCCACTCAACCCCTGACAAGCCTCAACCAGCCTAACAAAACCACAAGTGTTTAAAGGCTGACAAAATCTCTACAGGCATAGTGATTTTATAAAGTCGAAGCAATTATTTATTTGCTTGTGGATGTGTGATTTATAGATAATAATAAGGAAGCTTCATATTTATATAAACATGCAGAGAACATCAATTCTCAGCCATAACCAACAACAAGAGCACTCCCCTACATAAGTGCCAACTGATAACGGCACACAAGAATTAAGCACCCAGAGCACGATATGTTTATTTTGCCTCCACAGTAGACAGGATGAAGTTCATCCTTCCTCTGAGTGGGTGGTGTAATTTGGATTTAGATTTGTAAAACTGTGTAAAGGACAGTAAATATACCAAAAGACTAGTATCCGGGATCCAAAAGATAGATGGATGCACACTGCTGGGCCTCAGCATTCTTCTTTTACAATTTGCACCACAAATTTTTTTAAATTTCTCTCCCTAAAATAATCCTATTTCAAGGTGATGGTGTTTAGAACATTCATTTCCTCCCTAAGACAGCTTGTGAATTCTGACAGTTAAATTTGCTAGAGAAAAATTGCTTTGCTAAACTCTTAACAATAATGAAGCAACATATTAAAGAGAGACTTACACAAACGTCTTGGGTTTTTTTCCCCAGGAAAATTATAAGAAAAGGCAGCAAGGGAAGAATCTACCAATCAAAATAGGGATGCTGCTACTGGAAATGGAATCACTGAGTCTCAGCATCATTTCTCCATAGTAGCACCACCCTGCCAGTAGCATTTTAACATTTTTTAGAGACAAAGACATAGGGAAAAGTTGTAGAACCAGAAAACACTGGAGGAAGAATGAAAGACAAGGAAACTGACTTCGAAATGTATTTCCTTCTTCACAGAAACAATAACATGCTCACTGACCTACTCTGACACATAAAGCTTTTGTAAACATCACCATAAAGTTTATTTGCATGTAGTCTTACAGCCCAAACAGGACAGTAAGGAACATCCTATATGTGTATGTATATACACACACATAAAATCACTTTGTACACTCACTAGGAAAAACAGCTTGGAATGGAGAAATAAGAGGGGGAGAATGAAGCTTACAATGAAA